CAAAAGTTTTAAAAAACTAGCGCGTAGGAACAATCGCACAGAACTGACTTAGACGTCTGGCAGCTTGGGCTAGTTGGTATGGCATGACGATAGTTATAGCGCGAGAACAAAACGACGACATTCTTGTCTCTGTGTCGTCGTTTTGTTGTCGCGCTATAACTATCGACAGAACTGACGTTTTGGCAGCGCGACCGCGGCCCTCGTCGGAGTGAGGTCGGAGTTGAGGAAGTGGTACAATGCTTAGGCATACTTCGACAGCCCCATAAAATTTTCTTTAGCATTTTTAGCATGAAAACTGGATCAACTATTTTTACTGGTTTATCACTTATTTTCATACAGTTTCGCCCTCAGACTCAGTGTGGCAGGTTAACTTCGAATTTGAAAACTTGGAAAAGAACGCAGCACCACACTTTTGCGTTCAGTTTCGCTCCGTCGTCGTTGAATGCGCATTCATTTCCATCAACTGGTCAAGCTTGTTCGTATGACGATAGGCGTGCGCTAGACAAAAACAGGGGGGGGGGGGGGGGGTGCAAAGTTAGCCGCACACATTGACGTATAAGAAGGTGGGGCTGCAACTAACCTCCGCACCCCCACCCACCGCACGCCTATGAGTATGACTACGTCACTGTAAAGTACACTACAGCACAAAACACTTGAGACCTGTTTCCTAGCCTCCGGCGAACCGAGTTATTGAACAACATAACAATTATATCCGGGGTGGTTGGTCGAAATGCATAATTGCAATCCATTATACACGAAACGACAAAGAACGCATTTTTATGGCTAACCATTCTTTGGAAATCCTTACACAGAATCTTGCAAAACCACCGAGTCTCGCTGCGACTCGCAGCAACGCGAGGTTTTCGGTTCAGCTTTAAAACCCACTCGAATCGGCAGTCACATTTAAACTAACAGCACCCTGCAAACTGCACAACCATGCAGTAAAACGGCCGTACCTGACGATCCGACGCATAAGAAACCAACGTGACAACGGGTACAAGTATTGCATTACAGTTGCATTACAGTATAGCGCGCCTGCTTGGTCGCTCTCACTAATAACTGAGTGCAACTCAATTGTGTACTAAAATAGTGCATCTCCAGTATCGGCTCATTCCTGCTGCCACCCCAAACCGCGATTTCGCAATCCGATAAGCGGCTCACCAAGCATTCTATTGGTAATACAAAGGCTCCACCAGTATTTCCACTCACACTGTCTACCCGCTGAAGAAGTTCGCCACATACGCATGCACGGAGCCTTAACTAGGGGTGGGGGGGGGGGGGACTTTGACGGCCCTTGAAATTTTTTTCATGCTCAATAGTTTTTCGGGTGATACTAATGTGTTTACACGTCTTCACATCGGCCACCTGCTGCCAAAGTTGGGTGTTCTGCACATTAACACCTCCCTAAAGAAAAATTGGGGTAAGGCCCGGCGCATTCACCCCGCTGAAACGTTGGCTCCCGTCATTCATATGCAGGACGGCGAATGGAAGTGAAGAAAAGTGGACCGGAGTGCGCGTGCCACACGGTGGACAACTTGAATTGAACCCGCGCCCTTCCCGACCCCTCCCACTGAGGACCTTACGATCAGAACGAGGACGATGGACGCACGCCTATGTCACTGCCCTAAATGCTGGAGTCAATTACACGAGACTCCACTTACAGCTGACAGGCCTCACGTCTTTACACGTCCCACATCGGCCACACGTCACTCTCTCGCGCTACGTCGATTCACGCAATGCGAGCGTTTCTCCGAATTTCGGCAGCACTTCTATTTGTAGTCTTGAGTACACTTCACACGTTCACTGATTACGTACGCAAATCTTTGAACAACACAACGTACATTACTCACGGATTGAAACGCGAAAATGTACAGGACTGCGTAATGCGCGTGCCTTCGTTTCCAGACTGTACAGTTCGGGTCATATCAGCGTGATTCTGTCTCGACCAATTTACGTCACAACCCACATTACACTTAGCGGCCAGATTTTCAGCTTCATGACGCGGTTCTCACGAGCTTATTTCTCATAGCAGTCGCTATGTATTTAAACAAACGGTGTTATTATCTCTCCGGCACTGTACAGAAGTATCACTATGTATGCATGTAAAGAAAGCGCACGGTGTGCCCATGCAAGAGACAAAAAATATGCTTTGTTGAGTGTAAAAACTGTGGCTATAGTAACAACGGCTCTTTGTAATGTCATGACTGAAGGTAGACTTCTCACCGCTACAGAGAGGATTGAATGGCTACAACTGGTCCACGTACATTGACGACAATCATATTGGAGACAAAAATGCAGGCGGCAAACAGCGTGACAAGAGAGAGATGCAAAAATATGCAGGGAAGTTAGCCTGATGCACTGCGCGACGAAGTAATAATCAACCTAGCTAGCCAATTTATGTATCGGAAGGAGTAAGTTTAGACAGCCAGTAGGCTGCGGGATCAGCGAAATGTCACGACAGGAAATTCGCAGTTGCGAAGTCTGTGTCTACCCTCAGTACAATGTAACAATTTGCGTAATATTAAGTAATTTGCAATTTAAGTAATTAAGCAATTTGGTAAGATTAAGCGATTGGGCTGGTTTGTTGATGATTTAAAGGGCCACCGACAAAAATTTTGGCCTCGCGTTTTTTTTTTTTTATGCGAATGCATTTCTTAGTTGGGCTATGTCAGGCGTCCGATGGGATCCGTCTACCACCCTCTCCCATAGTAACAGCTGCGGGCGCGCGCGCTTATCCTCGACCCTGGCAATCGGAGCCCCCCCCCCCCCTCCCTTACTTGAATATGACTTGCCATCCTTAATGCCAACGCCGAGCCGAGAACGCAGTTTGTTTTGTTCACTTCATAGTATTTCTTATAGTATTTTTGTTCACTTCATGGTAGGTGCGACTATTAAATGATTGATTGATATGTTGGGTTTAACGTCCCAAAACCACCATATGATTATGAGAGACGCCGTAGGGGAGGGCTCCGGAAATTTCGACCACCTGGGGTTTTTTAGCGTGCACCCAAATCTGAGCACACGGGCCTACAACATTTCCGCCTCCATCGGAAATGCAGCCGCCGCAGCAGGGATATGATCCCGCGACCTGCGGGTCAGCAGCCGAGTACCTTAGCCACTAGACCATTGCGGCGGGGCACGCGACTATAAAATGCTCCGCATTTAAAAACTGCGCTTACCTGTGAGTCAAAAAAAAAAAGAAAAGGGCGGGACACAAACCAGCACTGTGTTTTGTGCGCCTGCTTTCGTTCCCTCGTTTAGCGCCGCTACAACGCAGTGTGCGTGTGTGTGCGCGCGTGCATATATATATATATATATATATATATATATATATATATATATATATATATATATAAAGTGAAAGAAGTGTATACGTAAGGGGTCGTTTTTCCGTGTTTTGACACAATATTAATGAGATGTAACAGACAATAATGCCAAAGAATGTCTAGGGGAAGTTATTAGAACCAATGTAATGTAAATAAGAAGAAAGAAAAGTGGATGAAAAAATAACCTGCCGTGAGCAGGATTTGATTGATATGTGGGGTTTAACGTCCCAAAACCACTATATGATTATGAGAGACGCCGTAGTGGAGGGCTCCGGAAATTTAGACCACCTGGGGTTCTTTAACGTGCACTCAAATCTGAGCACACGGGCCTACAACATTTCCGCCTCCATCGGAAATGCAGCCGCCGCAGCCGGAATTCGAACCCGCGCCCTGCGGGTCAGCAGCCGAGTACCTTAGCCACTAGACCACCGCGGCGGGGCCGTGAGCAGGAACACGGCAGGTTATTTGCAACATTGCAACATTCGTTACACATTGCCGCAGAAACTTCCAGCGTTCAACTTCCACGCCCACCACTCTGTGCTCTGCGTCGCAAACCAAGCGAAACGCCGACAGCCCCGTTATGACAATCGAAGCCAGCCGCTGTGTCAGCCCTGCATGCGCACCAACTCCGACCGAGGGGCCAGCGCGGGTCGTCACGGAGGACGGAGGCGAGGTTAAAGACCGGTGGCTCGCCACATCCACGCTCGCTTTCTTTCGCTCTAACGGTTAAGCTACCGACGCCTACGCAGGAACAAGCGACCAAAGGCCTGACCACACGCACCCGCATGGCGTTTTGACGCGGCGCCATGCCTTCTCCCTACGATGAGAGTGGGTGCCAGCTTCGCGTAGCCACGCGCGATCTCTATATATAGGGAGAGGGTGTGCGGCTACATGAAGCTGGCCACCCTCTCCCTTTATATGGAGAGGGTGCGGCTTCGCGTCAAAAAGCCACGCGTTGACGGGCTGCAACGCGCACGTGTAGCCAGGCCTTAAAGGGCTGCGGTCAGAGCGTACCAGTGGTCAGGCTTGAGCTGCACTTTGAACGTACTTCGATATCTGTGGCGTCACGGCGATATCCATGAGTTGAGATTTTGACACGCAACATAAAAACGAAAGTATAACCATTCATCAAAATAAACCTACGATGCTGAACTAACGATATTTTTTTAATAACTTTAGTGCCCTTCATCGTCAGTGAAGCGTGGCCATCCAGTATACAGACATTTCAACGAGGGTTAAATACAAGAACAATAACGTATGCAGGCTTATGTCCACTTCACAGTATTAGGTGATGCGAATTCGACCAGAAGAGCTGAAAAACGAGGCACAAAGGAAAATATTAGGAGGCCAAAATTTTCTACAGTGCCCCCTCGTCAATATTTAATGGCTTTTGCTCGCAAAACGCCATATTTGGTTTTCCTCTAATAAAAACTTGCACATGATGCACGATTTTTACTGAATCTTGCTTTCGATGTTATACTATGTTCAACATGCGGTTTGCACAGAAAAGCATAAGGAATGTGTTGACAGTGGGTTCTCTGCGCTATGAGGTTTAGCATAGAAGCCTTGTGGGCTGCGTTTGTTCGAACCCCAAGCTGTTGCACTCAACCGCGTCCGCCCCGGAGGGCGTGAAAGAAGGTGCCGGAACCAAATCAGGCATCCTGAAGCACTTACCGCCGCCTCGGATAAGCCATTCCTCCGAATTATATTCTCGTAGTAGTCACACACGTCATCCATTTCCTTGGTCCAGTTCTGCTCCTTCTCCTCGTAGACCTGGATGATGGCGTTCTCGTTGCGTTCCATGGTCTGGCGCAAGTACATGATTTCCGCGTCCTTCTCTCGCAGCTGAGCTTCCAGCTCGGCCACTCCCGAATCGCTGGGCGATGGTGCCTCCTCTTCGACGTTCAGGATGGCCGAGCTGTGGCCCGAGTCGAGCACGTCCAGCACGGCCGAGCCGCCGTCACTCGAGGAGGGTGACCTCGGGGGGTCCTCGATCTTGACGATGTGCGGCATCGACCGGAAGAAAGACGACTTGCAGCGGGCCGGGTGGAAGGCGGTGCACGTGCGCGTCACCACTGCCACCGACTTCCCTTTCAACGAACGCATTGGTGGTGCAGAATGGTGACCCGTGGGCTGGTCAGGCGCCATCAGCATACGCTCGTTGTACAGGTTGAACACCGAACCCCTGCTGGAGCAGCCGTCGTCCAAGTCCTGCCCGTGGTTCCAGTACACCGCCACAGGCCGCACCAACGCCGGGTTCTGCGCGAGTGACAGCGGTTGTCTCAAACAGACTTGACGCTATCACTCGCAATATCTCACTGACAAACAGAAACTTAACATTGTTGAGGTTCATTATTATTGCGCACGTACGATAGCTACATGAGGTCCAATTAGAAAACGGACGCGCGATTGCGGAGGCACGCGTGTCACGCCGACTTATTCAAAGGTAATACTGCTGTTTAGCGTTTCCGCACTTGTTTGTGCACCGAGAAATCATTCACTCTGCGCAGGGTTGCGCGCAATAACAAGCGGAATCGAAGTGTACTCACTTTGGTGAGCAGCACTCCGCTGACGGGAGGTAGGCAAGGTGGCGATGCCGTCATGCCTTCAGCCTCGATGCACCGCGAGAAGGGGGCGCCCTGGAAGAAAAGAGCAACGGGTCTTCGTCGTCGCCACACACAACATCGGTGCACGAAGCCACATGGCGAGTAGAAGCGGCTCGCCGCGGCGGCCCCATCGCGACAACAAAGCGGGCCGGGGAGACGGCATGTCGCTGCCAGACGCGCCCCATATTTTCCTGGCTGCTGCACTTTCGCCAAACTCGTTCTTCGAGTTCTCGGCAGACGTCGCTCCAAGGCCAAAGGGCAGCTGCTACCCACCGGAAACTCCTGGCCGGCGCTCCCACCCACCCCCTTCCCGCTCGTCATGTGCGGCGGCGGCCACTTCCTAGTCTGGCCGACAACCGCCTAGGATGGTCCTTTCGGCGAAGGAGAAATCCCGACCAGTTCCGCGGTTGCCGCTCACTGGGTCGGGCGCGGCACCTGCGTGTGAATCCCTGCGGCTAATGACTGGCCGCTGCGCATCGGCAACGCCATCCACCGTCCTCGCCGGTGACGGGACCACGAAAATGCTGCAAACACCGCGGACAGGACATTGTCGCAGTACGTCATGAACTTTCATAACAGCGGGACACCGGAGAACAAAAGTTTTGGAGTGAGAATATATGAGCTCCAGCCAAACCGCGTGGCAGGTACGAGCGTGACCAGATGGCCAGTCCACCCCCGCCATCTTGTCGGACTGAGGAACCCGATGGCAGCAGCGAACAGCCGCGCCTGGCTTCCACGAGCGGAAAGCTGCGCGGCAACAATGACCCCCCCCCCCCCCCACCCGGTTGGAGGGCGCCTACGGAGGCCATGCAAATCACAAAAAGGCTCCGCCCGACCTCCAGATTTCATCGCGCTCGTTGCGAAAACGCCTCGATCGCTCCTGCAATGTCGGGGGCCGAACGCGCTGGCTATATTCACTCGGATGCAGGCTTGTGGTGCGAGCAGTCAAGTGATCGAGAACGACTGCACGTCACCATGCCGTCGCCTGGTTGACCTCGGAAATATAAACGGGCCTCACTGACGCCATTCACTTGGCCCGACGTAAAGCGGAGCGAAGGAAAAGGAAGGCGTCGGAGAGCTAAGCGCACACCGAGAATGCAAGAAATGAGATTAGCGAGAATAGAAGGCCCGCAAGACATTCGGAGGGGTAAAAAAGTGAAGCGGTCGACGAAAGCTGCCTTGTGCGACGGAAATGGAAAATGTAAGGCCTAAAAAATTACTTGCGTAAGTTACGTTCCACTCAACCCGCATATCGACGGCAACACCAGACTGAAGTGCGCAGCACACACAGCCTGCTGCTGTTCAGCGAACGTAAGCAGAAGCAGAAAACGCGAGAACGCAAGTTCCTGCGAAACAGCAAAATTCTCTATTTTGCTGCAGGCAAACTTCAAGCGCAGCATCGCCTCGAGAAATACCAGCGGCTTCATTTCAAAACATATGAGGTGGGCTGTGCACGAAAAGTATCACAGCGGTTTTGCGCCAGGGTATAGCCTGCTACTGAAGTTTAACAGTCACGTAACAAGCTTACTATAGTATACGTGTATTCCGATAAGTCTTCAATGAACATTTCCATTTTGCTTGCCTTCGTTGGCATGTCTTAAACAAAAGCTAAAAGTCACATTCTTGTTTGCCTCCAGTCTCTAGCCCAAACCCACAGCGGGAGATTCGCAAATAAGTAGGTGGTTTTACATTATCTACAAAAGTTAGTAGGGTAATTTACACAACCAAAATTGCAAACTAAAGATAATAAAACTTGAGAGCTATACATACAGTATAAGTTTAACAAAATTATTTAATATATTATTTATTATAATTGAAAAATAATAAAGTCATGCATTTATCTTGCTTCTTTTTCACAACGCGCACGCACGCTAGGCGTTGTTGTGCCTCGCCCAAGTTCCACGTGGTCTTCGCGGCCTGCTGGCACCTGGCAGCTGTTGATGAGTCAACCCTGCTGTTGTGCCTCGCCCAAGTTCCACGTGGTCTTCGCGGCCTGCTGGCACCTGGCAGCTGTTGATGAGTCAACCCTGCACCGGGACGGCGACGGACGCGGACAATCGGGAAAAACCACGTCGCCGGCTCCTCTTGACACAAAAGTCGTTGGCCAAGCTTTTGTCAGCCGCCGAGAGCAACACTCCGAAGCAGCGTCGACCCAGCAGCTGTACGGGGTATTCTGCCTTGCTTGAGTCAACCTGGCTGCATCAGGGAGCGACTTTGCGCATGGGATTCCACGTCATCTCACTGTGGTGCCACGCTGGCGCGTGGGGGTCTCCCTCACCAAACAGCGAACTGGGCATGCCTTGGCCCCTTTCCTAGGTTCAGAGGGAGGCGGTGTTTGGCTTTCCCTCTTCGGGGCCGGAGAGGAAGACGACGATCTCATTGGAGTATCCTGCGCATAAATTATCTTTGCAAGGGATCTTGGGAAGGCGGACGATGTATAAAAACGCTAGCGCAGAGGCGCTCGTGTGTGATTCTCTTTTCATGTTGTACCACGCTACCATGTAAATACTGTATATAAACATTTTTTTCTCCTTCTCCGGCTTCTCTACTCGTCCTCTCCGGGGACTCGGATGGCCCGAGTCCGCACCACGCTACACAAAGGCGCAACAGTGGCTGGCAGCTTATGGGATTCGCCTGCGTCGGCTGCATCGAAGTGGTGAGTGCCGCGTGTTTGCTCTTCTTTTCGCCAGACTCGTTAGCGCAGATGGTCGGTAACGTGGTAGGGTGATTGTGGTAAAATTTTGATTCGCAGACCAAGAATTGGGTGGCTCGTGGGCAAAATTACCTTAGAAGAGAAACGGTGTGCATATCTAAGATGGAGAAGTTTAAGGTCCAAGAACTCCTCGAAATTTGTCAGGAGCTGAATATTTCGGTCGGCTCGGTTAAAAGAAAACAACAAATTTTGGAGCACTTGGGAAAGAGGAAGTGAGTTTAGAAGAGGCCATTGAGGCCAGAGAAACCATTTTGGCAAAGAAAGAGGAGCGTGAGCGCTTAGCCCGTGAACAGAGAGAGGAGGAAATAAGGAGGGATCGCGAGGATAAAGAACATGAAATCCGTCTGAAAGAACTGGAGCTTCGTATGTCCGTGGGAAATCGAAATTCAGGGGGTGGAGAATCAAAGATAAAGGATCTAATCCACACCTTCAAGGCGGGTGACGACATTGCATTATACCTCGTGCATTTTGAGCGAGCATGCGAAAATGCAGGGTTTAGTAGGGAGACTTGGCCACAAAAACTGATATGCGTACTACCAGGCGAAGTGTCCGATGTTATCGCAAGAATGAATAAAGAGGACTCCGAGGTGTATGACAGGGTAAAGGCTGCATTGCTACGAAAATGTCGCCTATCGACAGAGGCTTTCCGCCTGCGGTTCAGGCACTCTAAGAGGGGCAACGAATCTCATTCAGACTATGCCTACCAAATTAGAGCCAACTTTGAAGAATGGCTCAAAAGCGCGCAAGTCTATGGCAACCATGACAAGGTCATTGAGTTGATGGTACTTGAGCAGTTTTACCGGGGAATTCCCGAGGAGGTAAGGCTTTGGGTGCAGGATAGGATGAAAGACGTAGACATGAACAGGGCAGCAGAACTCGCCGAAGATTACTGCTCACGCCGTAGTCTCCGCAGTACACCACGAACTTCGGAAAAAAATGAAAAGGTAGAAAGCTGGTCGGGAAACCAGGGACGCAAGAGGTTTGCAAGAAATAACTGGAAACCCGAGAATTCCAAGTTATTAGACAGTCAGCAGGGAAAGGACAGTGAGGGGACTAAGGCGGCACCTTCATCAGGTTCAAAGGCGCCGGGTGACATAGCGCATGCGTTAGAAGCGCGGAAGCCAGTTGTTTGCTACAGCTGCGGAGAAAAGGGCCACATGGCCAGGAGCTGTAAGAGGCACATGGCATTTGCCACAATTCAGGAGTCAGAGGATAGCTTAAAGCTGTTGAAGCCTTACATGAGGACACTCTCAGTGAACGGCCGAATGTGTAGGGTATTGAGGGACTCGGCGGCCACAATGGATGTAGCGCATCCAAGTTGCGTATCTTCCGAAGACTATATAGGAGAGTGTGCCTGGATTCGGCAAGTGGCAGAAAAGCAAAGCGTCTGCCTACCGATAGCGAGGGTTGTAATCGAGGGCCCTTTCGGCCAATTGTGTACGGAAGCAGCAATTTCAGCCAACCTTCCGGAGCACTTCCCTTACCTATTTTCAAATAAGTCTGAGGAAATGTTAAAAACACGTGGAGAATCATTTGCCACCGAAATAGCTTGCATGGCCCTTACCCGTTCGAAGGCGCGCGAGCTGACGCAACAGCTGAGCAGCTCACCCTCTGGGGAACAGACGTCCGAGGGCAGTGTAGGAAAACCTGAGGTAGTTGCGACGGAAAATGAGTCTACCATGCGAGTTGTCGAGACGGAAACTGGGGCTATGGTCGGCAACAGCGAGGAAATATCTCTAACGCCCGAAAACGAGGACTTGGTGACAGGCTCAGTGTTAACACCCGCGTCCACCAGTTGGTGTCAGCTAGCCAGAACCGACCGTGCAACGCTAGTGGTCGATCAAAAGGCGGATCTCGCACTCTCTATGCTGCTAGATGCCATACATAAGGAAGGTAACTCTAGAAAGAACGTTTCGTTCTACACCCAAAACGAGGTGTTGCATCGCAGGTATGAGAACGCTAAAGGGCGGGTCTACAACCAAGTGGTAGTTCCACTAAAATACCGGCGGAACATTCTCGACCTGGCCCACAGCAACGCCTGGGCGGGCCACTTAGGTATAAAGAAAACGAAAGCTAAGCTGGCTCAGGAGTTCTACTGGCCCGGGTGCTGGAAGGATGTAGAGATGTTTGTCCGTGAATGCGACACTTGTCAGCGGATAGGAAAATCAACAGACAAATGGAAGGCACCAATGAAACTAGTGCCAATAATCACAGAACCCTTCCGTCGGCTCGTGATTGACATCGTGGGGCCTCTGCCTCCATCTAAATCAGGATATCGGTACGTCCTGACCGCGCTGTGCGTTGCCACCAAGTTCCCGGAGGCAATCGCACTGAAAGAGTT